AAAACGGACAAGTTGGTCAGGCACCACCTACGGACCATAGTAAATAAATCACTTTGGTTCAGTGGTGGGGAGGGCATTATGCAACACTTCCCAGCACAGCCCTGGCCAGGATATTTTACAGCCAAGGCACTTGGGCCCCTCCTCCCCAGCTAGACAGCCTGGCTCCTTCACATTCCCCTCAGGAGATAGGGTGGAAGCTCACAGCTCCATTTTGCAAGGCATAGAGGGCAGCTGAAAGTCCTGCTTGGCCTCTCTGGGCAACCACAGGCGCCAATAAATCAGCCACAGGCGATTCTCTCATTCCCTTCCTGGCTGAAGCAGGAGCAAGACATAATGCAAAAGAGCACTGATTGGACTTGAGAGATAAGCGATCTAGGCTTAAATTCTACTGCAAATGACTATATCACCACAGCCCAGGTAATGGCCTGTTTCCTCAGGCTTGTAACATGAAGACAGAACCATCTCCTTTTTGGTAAAGACACAAAGTTCATCTATGAAAGCAGCTAGTATGATACTTCGCCCACTGCAAGTATTCAGAAAACAGCGGCCAACTTGAGCAGAATCCATCTCTAATACATGCAAATAAGACATTCAAGGTAGGACTGGACAAAAAAGGTGTAGCAGGTTATGTGGGTTCCTCTCTGCTTTCTTCCTGACCATACCTTGATATTTCATTGATTGCCAGCTCTCAGAACTAATCTATTCCATGTCCTATCCCATCAGTGTTCTGTTCCCTGTTAAGGAGCTGATGTCCGATAACGGATTCACGATTTGCCCTTAACTAAAATATATGAAGATTGTTAAAGAAGACTTTGATGCCTTAACATAAGGAAGCAACCAATGCTGCAAATAATGGTTATTCTTGAAGAGAACAGCAATGAAATTTTCAGGGGTGGCTGAGGGGTGAAGGCTTTTAGTTCCAAAAATACACCATAGGTGGCCTACCTCACCTAGAAATACTATCAAACCCACACAGTGGCCATGCCTGATTTCTCCATAATCTGAATCAAGCCAAGTATAATGACCTCCGCCGGATACATTCTCTACAGGTGAGTGGGGTAAACTGGCACTGCGGTCCTGGCATGGTGGAGAGTGCAATCACCAAGGTGTCTGGAGCCTTGGAGTCTTAGCTATCAAGAGGTGTAGCTAGCTCCAGTTACATCACGCTCTTTAGGCCTGGTGTCTTCTCTGTGATGATCAACAGATTTTCTGTAAGGCACCGCTCAGTTCTAAAATTTGAGATTCCAAAGTGTACTCTACACACTTGATAGAATCTTGTGAGAGGATCAACAGCTCTGCCAGACGAACTTGAGTTTCAAGAGAAAGAATGCCAAATTTAATCCCTTGGGGAGACCCAGGCGCTGACTGTTGAAACATGCTAGGTGCTGTCAGGTTCCAGGTACTACGCTGTGCTACGCGCTGCCTCCGCAACTGATAACACCTGATTACTCCAAATAATGAGTGCCAGAGAAGGCGGTGATGGGTCAAGCTTCAAAAAGAAAAACTGGATTTGCTTAGAACAAGATAAACATTTGAAGATAGAAAATAAATAAATTATGAGGGCGGGGGGAGAGTCTTCTTGCCCTAGAAACTAGGTAATCACAAGCTGGGAGTGGAAACACTAGCCGCAGCGTCCTCGCAGCATCTGGAAAGTCGCCCGCTCCTAAGAGCGGTGGGCGCCAACCAGGGGAGGCCGCAGGCCTATTGGGGTTTCCTGCTAGGGGTCGCACCCGGACCCGCAGCACGGACGGCTCCGCACCTTCGCGGCACCCCGTGTGCCACCCTGAATCAGGCCCCGGCGGCCGCTCCTAGGAGCAGCAAAGGGTGGTTCTGGGTATTGTTGGCCCAGCGCTCACTCGCGGATGTATTTTCCTCCTGTGCCCTACCTGACATCTCAATGGGACCAAAAACACCCCTCTCCCCAGCTACTTGCATCTGTCCCGCGACCGGTGCAGCTGCAGGCCGCCGCCCTGGGCGGCTCGCGGCGGGAGGGACTGAGACCGGGGCAGCCCACAAGGGCTGGGCCGCGTCGCTTACCCAGATGCCGCCGCGGCGGCAAGCCGACTCCTCCGTGCAGGAGGGGCGGGCTCCCAAGCCGCGCACAGCAAGCGGTGGAGCCGGCTCACGCACCCCTCGGCTGGCTCTCGCGCGGCTTCCCGCGCCGGCAGCCCGCGACGGCCCCACGTGACCGCGTGTCTGGTAGCAGGGGAACGAGAGGCGCCAAGGCCAGGGTGTGCGTGCGTGCGTGCGTGCGTGCGTACGTGCGCGCCCTCCCGCCCGCAGCCGGGCGGGGGTCGGCCCGCGCTCTGAGTGGTGCCGCTACAGTTCGCAGTCGTGACTCTGTAGGCGGAAGCACAGGGACGAGCCTGAGCGTCACAGGCTCCCCACAAACAACCGCGTGACCCGGGGACTTTCCCCAGGGTGTGCAAAAGCACAGGCACCCCTTCAGTTCTGGGGTGAAGGTGGGGGTGGGGAAGGATGCGCCCGCGTGTTCGCTGGGGAAGGGATGAGGGCGCGGGGCCAGGGAGGCCGAGCCGCGGGAGCCTGGGTGGAGAGGCGGACTGGGCGAGGTGGGGCATGGCGAGGGAAGTGACTCAGGGCCAGAGGCGGACAGGCCCACGGAAGGTGGGGTGGGGGGAGCGCGGGGACTAGGCGACCCTGAACCGACGGGACAGAGCGAGGTTGCCGAAGCACTCGAGGCGGACCGCGAGGGACGGCCCAGCTGCTGGGCCCAACGGGGCAGGGGTCTGACATCTGGAAAGAGTGGGAAAACAGCCGCGCATCCTGCCCTGGGGAGTCGGGAGAAGCCCAGTCACATCCAGCTGTGCAAACAGGAGGAGGAGGAGGTCCCAAGCCTACCCTTGAGAGAGGGGCGAGAGGGGTGGTCAAGCCGCGGCTGCCGCTACGGCCCCCGCGGTGCGGGTTGCGCCAGCCTCCTCGGAGCCCGACGCAGAAACTTGTTGCAACAAACAGGCGACCGCGGGTGCCCCTAGCAGCCAGCGGCAGAGTGGGTGGGCGGGCGAGAGGGAGGGGAAGGCTGGCGGACGCCGCAGCGAACTGGTGGGCAGACCCGGAGTCGCCGCGTAAGCGGGGCCGGCTCAGTGCGGTGCGGCAGGCGCGGCTGTGCGGCAGCGGAAGTCCTTTGTTGCAGCACAGTCCCTGGCAGAGCCAGAGCCTCTCCGCGCAGCCCAACCCGAGCGCCGAGCGCCGCGCGCCGCAGCCACTGCAGCTCGCGGCCCCTTCGCCTCCGCTCGCCTTTGCCGTGGCTGATTTGCCTTAAACTCCCTAAAATCTCCGCAGCTCTGGTTCCTCCTGCGGCCGGTAAGTATTTGTCAGTTGTGGGGCTATTTGCGCAACTTTGGCCCGGGCCGGAGGGCGACGGGCCGCGGGCCTGGCGGAGTGCGGGACCGGAGCGGCGCCGACCCGTGCGGTGAGCCGGAGCGCGGCGGACGCGTTGCAAGGACCCGGTGACTGGCGGCTTCCAGGCCGCCTGCTTGTTGCCGGCGCGTCAGGTCCCGGGCGTGCGGCCTCCCTGAGTCGGAGGCAAAGCCCTTACGGAGACTAGTTCCCAAATTAGTTACCTTCTTTTCTTTCTTTCTCTGCCTTTATTTTTTTCGAGGGGGGAGGGGAGGTGTAGACGGGAGGCGGGAGAACCCGGTTGATTGACGTGCTTGGAGCCCGCTTCTCTCAACTTACAGCTGCGGCTCCGCGGCGGGTGGGAGGGGAAGTGTCCCGGAGCCCGAGGCTGCAGACTTGGGCGCGCTCCGAGGGAGGAGGCGTTAAGAGCCGTGCAAATTCTTGCTACGCTTTTTCCCACCCCCTCTCGCCGGCACACACGCTTTTTGTTCAGCAAAAAGTGGAAGGTCTGAGTTTGGGAATTTTAAGTGGAAAAGATCTGTTTCCTGGGAAGGAAGTGCTTTCGCTTGCAGCGGTGGGCGCTTACTAGAAGTTCGGTAAATATGTTGGATGCAGATCGGGAGTCGTTTACTACTAAAGTATGTAGGCAAGGTCTGAGCTCAGCCACCCCACCCAGTCTCCCTTTCTACCTAAGCAACGCGTGTACATGATCTGAAGGGTTGACATGACATTTTCTAAATTGGGCGCATCAGGAAGAGGTTGATGAAAATCTTTGACATTTTCCGGGGATAGGACATTTGTATGTGTGTGATAATGTTCTTAAATCGGGTTTCAGTGTGGCGGTGCACGCAGATTCTTCACTGGTGTTAGTGTATTTCCATACGGTATGTATCACTACAAGAACAGTGTTCCCTTTGACACTCGAACCCAAGGAATGGTCCGAGGCTTTTTGAGGCTACCTAGGATCAATGTCTTGAGTTGAAGTTGGAGGCACTCTGAAGCAGATTTGGTGAAGGATGCAGTTCTTGTAATTTACAGAGCAATCACAGTCTTCTTTGAAACGGAGAAATTAGATTCCATGAAATTTTATCAGTGCACATAGATATGATGTGGAGAAACGGGGAAAATTGAGTACAAAAAGATGAGGCTTGAATGATGGCTGGCCATCATTTGCTCAGAACCTCAAAACTTTGCTTTTGAATCACTTGCTGGATATCTAATAAAGTCTCAATAATAACTGGATGACTTTGGGAGCTAGAAAGGGGCTTACTCCTCTTAAAGAAACAGGAAACTGGGCCGGGCGCAGTGGCGCACGCCTGTAATCCCAAATGCCGAGGCTGGTGGATCACCCGAGGTCAGGAGTTCAAGACCAGCCTGGCCAACATGGCGAAACCCCATTTCTCCTAAAAGTACAAAAATTAGCCTGGCGTGGTGGCGGGCACCTGTAATCCCAGCTACTGAGAAGGCGGACGCAGGAGAATCGCTTGAACCCAGGAGGCGGAGGTTGCAGTGAGCCGAGATCGTGCCACTGCACTCCAATCTGGACAACAAGACTGAGACTCCGTCTCCAAAAAACAAACAACAACAACAAAAACCAGGGAACTGAAGCATAGTGGAGGTGAAATGCTTTTACAAAGGTTAGTAGACACAACGTCTACAGTAGAGCCTTCAGTTAACCTCTTACATTCATTTTATGAGCAGTCTTTCTCCATTAATACCACATTTTCATGGTATTGAATAACTCGGGTTGAGCAGTCTTTCCTGAAGCCTTTCTATTCTTCCCACTCCTAATTTGATGGCCTACTTTTTCGGGTTTTTTGTGGGGAAGGGACTGGTGTATCATTGTCAGAGAAAAGAGAAACCATATTTAACCAGGGCCTTAGCAGGGCGCATGAGCGCCGTCACAGCCACTTGCTCTTGACCTTGTGCTTTGATCTCACTTTAACACTTCTAAATTTTTGTACTGCTTCCTCATTCTCCTCTTTTGCCAGGCTCTGGGGAAGAAATAGTTCATGGACCTTTTTAAGAGTATCTCGTTTTATTTGTGGCATCATTTCCCTTTCTAATGTGCAGGAGAAAAGAAGTACCTGCTTTCAGACTTGCCCTCTAGCCAGGAAAAGCACTAAGCCTTTGCTCTTCACCTTCTGGTGCAAAGGAGAGGAAACTGTTGATACAGAAATACAGAAAAATTCCCGTAGATTTTTGTTAATAAGCTGCAATCTGTTGTCTTCCCAAAAAATTGAGATATATTTGAGAAACATCTTCTTGAGAGGTCACTTTGGTCTCTACAGAATGTTTTCTCCTGACATTTTCTTCCGTGCTAGTATCTCATGCTAAAACGGTGAAATTGTTTTTTCTCATATTCTTATGTGAACCAAGTTAAGGGTTATTCATGTCTTTTTTCTCAAAATGTAAGTAATTTTTTATTATAAAATCCATGCTCTTTGTAAAAATTCAGCCTGTACCAAAGTACATAAAATACAAAAATGAAAGTCATTTTGACTCCCACTCTCCAGAGATAATCACTGTGTACAGTCAATTCCTTGTTTAAAACCTGGTTACAGCTGTGCTGCTGTGTGTGCCTCACTCTGCCTGGGGATGGCCTGTGGTGATTCATGGACTCATGTTCTCTTCACATTACTCAGGTTGGTAAGAATTGCCAAGTAAAAGAAAGGGGAGTGTTTTGCATTGGGCTGATTTAAAATTATTTGATTAAGTAACTGGGCTGCTATTTTAGGTTTGTCCTTATTAAATACTTACCGTATCATGGTGGACTATTTTTCATACTTTGTTTATGTTAATGTTGTTGCCCAGCCTCTGATGGATTGATTTACAGCAGCCAAACACATCAAAACAAAAGCAAACCCTCAGCTTTATGGTTTCATAATTTATAATTAGGAAGGAGTGGGTATACTTGCCATGAAGACCACTGCCAGTATATCCCTATGCTGATATACGATGGGGTTCCTCTTGATCAGCACCAAAGATTGCATGCTGAACATATGGAAAGGAAATTAGAAGAAAGAAGGGTCAGTGACTGCTGTTTTCAGATGTGGCATGGAAGAGACTGATATTGGGGAGGAAGCGGCAGGGACTCACTCCTTAGATGTGTATTTAAGAATGAACTGTGAAGAAGTTGATGATGATCTAAAAACAGAGCCCCAAAATAGTACATAGAAAGTTAATTACAACATTGGTTATTTGAGGCTGTTGGGGACATGGGTGGTTTTTATACTACTCTGTCTTTGAATTTAAAATTGTTTTCAAAATAAAATTTGAAGATTAAAGAATTATTAACCAGATTTTCTTTTGTCTGTATGAGATGCATGCAGTCCTTTTTAGAGATAACTGAAGAGCTCCATCCCCCCTTTGAAGTATTAGAAGAGGCATGCTCTGGTGGACAGTGGGGAGTTAGCAGATGGAAGGGGATTTAGGGAAGGGACAGGACCTTCCTGCAAGATGGGGCAGTGAGAGAATGATGAGAGCTTTTAGATTTGTAAAAAAGGTGACTCAGGGAGGCTTAGAATGTTCCAAAGGGGCACTTCAGCTAATAGTCATATTTAGAAGAGTATTGTCTGGTTTACACAAACTGAAACTTAGGGCTTTGAATCAAGAGTCTCAGCTTCTACTTAGAAGATAAGCAGTTTCGGGGAAGTCAACCACTGAACCTGTTTCATTTACAAAATGAGGATAATAAAAATACCTATCTCAGGATGGTTATGAGATCAGTTGTATTAATATATGGGAAAATGCTTTGTAAATTTTCAACTACTATGTAAAAGTTGCCATGATTGAAATAAACAAAAAATTGATAAGCAAAATAAAACTTCCGTGTTTAAACATGTATTCATTCAAAAACTCATCAAATATCAACTAAATGTCAGACATTTAGTAATGAATGAGATACTGCCCTGGTGTCAAGGAGCTTACAGTAAAGCAGGGGAGCCAAATAATTGCAATACTTGCCTTAAGTGTGTAATAGAGCATCACAGTTTGGATGATGCATTATTGGTACCATATAGTTGTATGTATAGGCTGTTTTGGCAGCACGGAAGAGAGGCATTTGCCTCACCCTAAGATCAGAAAAAACTTCCCAAAGAGGCCAGGCACAATGACTCTCCCCTGTAATCCCAGCACCTTGGGAGGCCTAGGCAGGCGGATTGTTTGATCTCAGGAGTTTGAGACCAGCGTGGCCAACATGGCGAAACCCTGTCTCTACAAACAATACAAAAGTTAGCTGGGCATGGTGCTGCATGCCTGTAGTCCCAGCTATTCGAGAGACTGAGGTGGGAGGAACGCTTGAGCCTGGGAGGTGGAGGTTGCAGTGAGCGGAAATTGCCCCATTGCACTCCAGCCTGGATGACAGAGCCAGACCCTGTCTCAAAAAAAAAAGAAAAGAAAAGAAAAAAAACTTCCCAAACAGGGTGAGCTAGACATTGAAAAGTTTCGAAGCAAAGGAACAGCATGTGTGAAATGGCAAGACTTTTGGGGTGTTAGGTTATTTGGGATGAGGGGGAATCTTAAGGCTTAAAAATGGAGTTAAGTTTCTTAGAATGAACATACATTTTATGATACTTTTTATTGGTTTCATTTTGTTGAAGTTTAATTATATGACTGTGATGTTTTCAGGATTTTGGTTTGAATTAAAACTGGTGCCACAAAGTTGGAAACAATACAATTTTTAAAAAAATGTGTAGGATCTGGCTGGGTGTGGTGGCTCACGCCTGTAATCCCAGCACTTTGGGAGGCTGAGACAGGCGGATCACAAGGTCAGGAGATGGAGACCAACCTGGCAAACGTGGTGAAACCCCCGTCTCTACTAAAAATACAGAAAAAAATTAGCCAGGTGTGGTCATGGTGGTGGGTGCCTGTAGTCCCAGCTGCTCGGGAGGCTGAGGCAGGAGAATGGTGTGAACCCGGGAGGCGGAGCTTGCAGTGAACTGAGATTGCGCCACTGCACTCCAGCCTAGGTGACAGAGCGAGACTTCGTCTCAAGAAAAAAAAATGTATAGAATCTGCTCAAAGAAGGAAACTGGGTAATGCCTCCCATCATCATAGAGCTGCCTCACCAGTTATTCGTTTAGTAACATTTACTGAATACTTAATAGTCCAGAGAAATGAAAAAGCCAAAGTCCTTGTCTCAGAGTTGTTCACAATCTCATGGGGGAGACCAACATATAATTATAACCAATTCTTATTTAGCATTTACTCCCTGAGAGATACTACTTAACAATAACTCCTAAGAGGTAGAAAGGATTACCATCCCCTCTTAGATGACAGAAGTGAAGCACAAATTGACTAAGCAGCCTACTCAAGGTCACACAATAAGTGGCAGAGCCAGAATTTGAACCCAGGCAGTCTGGTTAGTTTGTGCTTTAATGCCTACTTTATGTAGCTGTTCTGATTATTAAAATACAGTGTAAAAAGTGCAAAATAGAGAAATAATACACAATGAGATCAAAACCTAAAATAGTGGGAGAGGAAGGTGTTACAAAGGCTTTCTGCAGGAGGTGATAAACTGATTTTTAAATGATACGTGGGAGGTTCAGACCCAAAGAACCTATTGGTATGAGTAAAACTGGAGGGGAGGTAAGAAATTCATGAAGTATGCTGGGTGTGTGTGGAGGAGGGTGAAGGTGGTGACAAGCAGTTTTATGTTGCTTGAACATGAAGTTTGGAAGCAGGCACTAGCTAAACATGTAAGACTAGATGGGTGGGCATGGGGGGCTTTGTATGCCTCAATAATGATTTTATACTTTAGCCTGAGGATATGTGAGGGGAACCATGGTTGAATAGTGTGATATGATTTTTCTTCTTCATGAATCATCTTCAAAACGGCATTGCTCTTGGAAGGAAAAAATTACCTGAGAGTGAAGGATTTGAGGGACTGGTTGAGGAGCCTATTTTAACAACTCAGGAGTGATAATAGAGGCCTTACGAGAACAGGAAAGGTAGGGATGGAGTAGATGGGCAGATTCGTGAAATATTTAATGGGAAAATTGGCAACACTTAATGGTTGATTATGAGGGAGAGGTTCTAGGCAGCTCCCAGGTAGTCTAGGTGATTGGTACATAGTGGTGGCAGCTGAGACAGAATATGGGGGAGGGGCATTTTTAAGTGGGTTCCAGACAAAATCAGATTCCACAGAATTAGTGCTTTCAAATAGAAGTCCTACAAAACGGACCCTAAGAATACTAATGCTATGGGCAATAAGGGATTTCCTGGTGAAGCACATTTGGCTGAAAGAGCCTACTGTTTACACAGTGCCCTCTGGTGGTCAGAAGATGCTGTGCTGCCTCTTTAGCATGAATGGATTAAAATGTACTTTTCCTCCTCTACTTCTGGAGGGAGAGGGGAATATTCCAGAAGCCACTGTGTTCCTTCTGCTTTCTGTGTGGATAAGTTCATTTCTTAGAACTATAATGCAACTGAACTACAGGAACATCTCACTTATTTGTAAGTTATATGGTTGGCAGCCTCAGCTATCCAGTGCTTTGGCCTGATGCAAAAGAGGAAGGAAATTTGATCGCCTGTCAACAAAATTCAGGAATTAAAACTTTACATCTTATGAGCATTTCCCTAGGTCTTCAGAAGATGCTGTGCTCCCTCTTGAGGATGAATGGATATGTAGATTCAATTTTCAATGAGTTTTTGTCTAATTTCACAGCCAAGAAGAGATTGAAATGGTGGGCCACAGAAGATCAGCACACCTTTAGGAAGTGACAGTTGTTGGCTTGCAAGTAAAGAGACAGAAAAATACTAACCAGCCAACAAAGCACAATCTCCAAAAGCATAACAGTCTGATCTGAGGCCATTTTGTGTAGATGCCAACAACCCTTGCAAATTTGAACAACTACTGTATTTCAGCAAAACATAATTGTTTCAAAGGAGAAAACAGCCAGCCAGGTGATGCTATATGTGTAGACTGCAGTTAGAGTAGTATGAAGAGCCCTAGACCAGGATTGAGGAGACCAAGGTCTTATCCTGACAGCCACTAAAACTAAATGTGACTTTGAACATACCACTTAATCTCTTAGGGGCTCAGTTTGCTTTTTGATCTGTAAAGCAGTGGGTTGAACTTGATCATTTCATAAAATTCTATAAACTATAATTATGACATTAATTTTTTAAAAATTGTACTGTGCTTGGATTGAAAAGGCAAAGGAACATTTGTCATCTCTAATTTATGTAAGAGTCCTGTGAGAAGTATGATTATCCCAATTTTATAAATGAGAAAATGGGCTTAAAGAAGTAAAGAAGTTCCCGCATAGCTAAACCTAGTGGTAGAGTTTGTATTCAAACAAACAGTATATGCTCTCTGGGTTCTTTTTTATTTCCTTCACTTGACAAGCATGTATTAAGTGTCAACTATGTGGGAAGAGTGTGCTAGGCACAAGGAACACAAAGGCCATTAAGTCTTGTCCCTGTCTTTGAGGCTTCAGTACAGTAGGCATTGCTATATCACACTGCTCCTTGGATCTCTTGTCAGTGCTAATGATACAAGTAATACTACTGCACTGTTAGGCTTAATATACAGCTCCATTATGTCTTTAAGATGTGGGTATAAAACTAAGCCACCATTTATATTATTGTTTCTATGGGAATATGTGTTTCAAGTTCCAAATAAATTAAAAATAAAGTTTTA